CAAAAATCCATAGAGCTAAAGTAAACCAAAGCCCAAGCATGTTCAGCCAAACACATGTGCACAGAGTTTGTGGGGAGTCTATAAAACAAAAGCAGAAAAAAAGATATCATGCTTCTAAGCCACAAAGAGACTGAAGAGAGAAGCTTCATTTTGCTCTCACAGCAGTGTAAAGCTGGGCTAACTTCACTGACATCAAGAAAACAATTAAAATAGGATTTATGCCAGCATTCAGCCTTTTTGGTCCACAATGGGGCAAAAAAGCTAAGGGGCTTGCTGCTATGAGTGTGACTACATCTTGTGACGCATACAAATACCTTGCTTCCTGGTATTTTAACCATATCTTTGGTGTTGCAGTTAAACTGTTTGGCAAAAAGGTCATGTGTGGTTGAAATATGCGTTCTTTGACCAGTGCTCCCACAATATAACGGAAATTGTGTCATTCACAGCCAGCTTCTCTCTGTTTTAAGCACAGTGCACCTAGCCCATGGCTGACTTGTACCTTGCTTTCCCACCCCCATGAAGTTATCCAAGAGGGTACACTTATTAGACAACTGCCTGTCTTAAGAAACTGGCCTGAAGTATCCTTAAAACACAGTGGACCAAATTCAAGTCCAAAGGATGAATCCCTCTTCCTACACTTGTAACAATATGCCATATTGGAAGATCTGTAGCCATATTAGAAGGCCTAAAGCCTTTCTCTGCAGCCAGAATTAGGAGCAGCAGTCACAGCTGTAAAACTTAGAACCACATATTCACATTCCATCTAAGTTGCATTAAAATAGCATCACATCAGGCTGTTAAGAAAGAGATCCTGTCCTAATGGCACCCACGGTCACCAGATAAAGAACTAGATCTCAAGATGGGTAGAGAAAACTTAGTTAACAGCATTTTGTCTGGCAAGAAACTGTTTATCAATAGTTGAGGTTGTGGAATCCTCATTCTATGATTATGGTCCTCATTTTCTTATTGTTTGTGTGTATGTTCTGTGTTTGGTTTTTAATTGTTTCTGTCTGTTATATGATTAAATTTCTTAGGTGCAAATCAGCTAAAGTGGTGGGGTATGATTAGTTAGGTAATTCAGTTACAGTATGTTACAATTTGTTAGTAAAATTATACTGAAATAATTGGTTAAGGTATACCGAAGCAGGATTCAAGTTTCACTTTATAAAGTGGGGCCCAAGAGGGAAACCAGCAGGAAAGGAAAAGAGGAAATAAAGGGAAAAGGAAGAAAGAAACAGCAGAAGGAGGAGGAAAGATCTGGAAGAACTCATCTCAAGACCCAGCCTAAAACCACAGCTTCCAGAATTCCTGTGCATGACCATGACATGGAGCAACCAGAGAGCTCCAGAGAGACATATCTTGCCTGGCCATTATGGGATGTTTGCCTGCCTTTAGCAGGAGTGTTAAGCATGACACTGTGGGTGTGTCTAGACTGGTATGATTTTGCGCAAAAGCAGATGATTTTGCGCAAAAACTTGCTGCCTGTCTACGCTGGCCACGAGTATTTGTGCAAGAACACTAACTTTGTACTGTACAAAATCAGTGCTTCTTGCGCAAATACTTTTATGCTCCCGCTCAGGGATAAGCCCTCTTGCGCAAGTATTATTGCGCAAGAGGGCCAGTGTAGACAGGCAAGTTAATTTATTGCGCAAGAAAGCCCTATGGCTAAAATAGCCATCAGAGCTTTCGTGCGCAAGAGAGCATCTGCACTGGCATGGATGCTCTTGCGCAAAAGATGTCTTTTGTGCAAAAGCATCCATGCCAGTGTAGACACTCTCTTGTGCAAATACTTTTAACGGGAAAACTTTTCCGTTAAAAGTATTTGCGCGAAATCATGCCAGTCTAGATGCAGCCAGAATGTTTAGCATGTGTATTTTGCTTCCAAGAGAACTGTCAATAAATAGAGAGTAAGGATATTACTGTGTAAGGCTCTTTCAGTGATAAAAGATCCTGAAGACCCACAGGAAGTTATGCCCTGAGCCCTAGAAATTGGATAAGGATGTGTGTCCTTATTGTGTGTGAATGACAGAGAAATCTGTGTGGGTAACAAATTTGGTGGAGAATGTGGGCAGCCTAAGGTTGTTTGGACCATATTGATCTAGCCCAGTGTTTCTCAACCTTTTTTTGCTCATGGCCCCCTTCTGAGCCTCGTTCATCTCTGTGGCTCCCCTCATAGCCACTGTTAGTTGGAAAAAAAGGTACATAATTTACCTAATGTTCTGTTTTTTCCATGTGGCCCCCTAGAGGTAGGGCGTGGCCCCTGGGGAGCCATATGGCCCACGGTTGAGAACCTCTGAACTAACACAGCAATAGCAGAATTCTAGTGGTGTTGTGTCAAAAAGGGTCACCACCTGCTTGGCAAAATGTTCTCTCTGAAGCAACAGGAGGGAAAGGAAACCAAGCGAAGGGACCAGGGAGGGTAGGTGTTTAAATTAACAGGTTTGTACCTGGAGCCCTGGGAACTGGGTAAAAGTTCGTGTCCCTGGTGTGGCTATGAACAACAAATAAATCTGTGTGGGTAGCAAATTGGATAAGGATATGTGTCCCTAGTGTGTGAGAAATCTGTGCAGGTAACACATTAGGACAGTACCTGGAACACAGAGTGGGCATCTGCTCCAGCTCTGCCAGGAGGCCCTTAATGTTAAGCAACAGGTTGTCTATGTTTACTTAAAACCATTTTTTCTGTGACTTGGTTTAAAGAAATTTTCAATGACCAGAGTCTGTGGACTGGTGCTGCTTCCAGTTCAGGAAGACAGCAAGCCAGTCACTGGTATGAAAAAGGTTGAGAAACATTGGCCAGATCTTACTCATTTTCCTGCAAATTATAACTTTCAAAAATGAAAAAATGGGTCTGATTAATCAGATAGAATCAATCACAATTATCAATGAAGAAACCAATAATGGAAAAGAGGCGGGATGTACAACATAAAACACGTACAGCCCAGCAAACAGGCAATTATTTTTTTAATTGCTTTTTAAGCAGCAAGTTTGGAACAAAATATAGTAGAGTGCCTATCATCCGACCTAAACGGGACCGACACATGGTCGGATTACCGAATATGTCGGATGATATGGACTCTACTGTAGAGAGCAACGGAACAGCTGATGCCACGCCTGCTGGGACAAAGCGTCCCCGGCAGAGCAACATCAGCTGTTCCATTGCTCTCTAGGAGCAGCTGCTGCTGCTCCACTGGGTTAGGTTCTCTTATGGCACAAAAAGGATAGCAACTTAATACATTTTCCCCCATGAGGATTCCTCTGTTATGGTGAGTCCTCAGCTAATGTGGAAATAGTTGAATCAACTTAGACACCAATTCCTATTGTCAGTTTAAGAGATGGTGTGTGGCAAGAGTCTGTCAAACACACACAGACCAGTGACGTCCAGGTGGCAGATACTTTCTGGGGAACTCATCAGGTGGCATTGTCTAGAGAAGTGTTTCTCAACCTTTTTTTATATATATAAAGTACCCCTTTTTCAAAACAAACAAACAAAAGTAGTACCCACAGCGTGTCCCCCCCTCCCGTAGCTGGTGTGCTCTTCCCCCTCCTGTACTGAGAATAAATTAATGTTACTTTCACCACTGCTTCTGGATAAGAAATAATAAATAAATAAATAAATAAATAAATAAAACTTAAAACAAAAATTCAGTTTTCCAAATTTCAGGTGTGTTGATGTACCCCCAAACTTCTCCCGAGTACCCCTAAGGGTACTCATACCACTGGTTGAGAAACATTGGTCTAGAGCAATCTGAAGCTTTTCTAAGTTCTGCTGGGACTACCACAGAAATTGCACAAGAATCAGGAAGATGTAACCAGCTCCCTGACTTTGCTATGTTGAACCGTCTTGGAGAATATGTGTGTGTGTGTGCGCACACACGTAAACTCACAGTAGTAGGTGGTACTGTTATTTTTATATTATACATGGATATATTTTAAGCCTTAAATTTAAACAATGACGTGTTTTGACAAGCTGTCAAAACTCATATTTCTGTGTGTCAATGGATGTAAAGTGACATACCAGTATTATGTAAGCACTGTTGGTTTATTTAAGCCTTTGTTAAACATCTGCATAAACACAGTTTTACCTCTGTAAAACAAACCTTTGAACTAAGACGACAGCCTCTTCCCCCTCCTTCAATATTAGCAGATACTAGACTTGTACAGAACACACACAGAGAAAATATTTCTGACTAGACTTTTTCTCCCCAGTGCACCTCTGTGGCTCTGAGCGCTTTACAAACAAATTCAGTACTTCACACAATAATTTAAAGACGACTCAGGCACATTATTGTCAAATAAGCAACACTAAAGCAAGTCCCCTCCTGAACAAAAATAGCAACCACACCATTAATCCATCAATGCTGTGATTCTTCATGTTCCCCTTTCCTTAAATGGATGCAGAAAAGCATTGGTTTTTCAATGTGGAAAAAAGGTTAACAAATCTGATTGCTTCAGTTTTGGATGTCGATTAATTTTCTCAGCTAAAATGGAAGTGTTCCCATCCAGAATTCAGCTGCAAAAGCATATGGTTGTCAATTTAGCAGGAGGAAGTTAAGCAATTATGAACATAAAATGCTTAAAAATAGGTCTGCATCCTAAATTTGATGTTCCTCTTTTCATTCCTTGCTGAAGTTTTCCTGACTCAAAAATACACACCATACCATTTTGCCAGTAGTGTGGAAAATACATTTCTTTTAAAAAGACAGACAAGGATGGCTTTTGTCTTGAAACATGGAAAGCAGACCTCAGTTCTCTGACCACCTTATATGTTCTAAGTACCATACTAGTATCATTTTGGATTGTTACTTTGCAGTATTACATGCTAAACTACTGCCCTTAATCTAGTAAACCAAACACACAAACCTTTTTACAAGATCCCAAGATTTTGGAATGCAGTTGATTGGATAAATACTTTAGCATATACTTAGATAACTGGAAGGAGAATATTTTGTACCTGTGCGTGAAATACTAGACTGCTTACATTGCTTGATCAATTCTAGGACCAAGATGAGTGTCCACGTTACCCGTGCATCAAGTTTTCAATACAGTAAAATCAGGTGGGTGGAGATTATTTTATGTACAACAGCAGTGTCTAACTTAATGACTATCTTATGGTCCAAGAAACTACATAATAACTTAAGGGCGATCTGGCAGAGAACACAAAAGGAGGTTGTGTCTTCTCTTCTTTACGATGGCTAAAGGGAATTTTAAAATAAGAACGGTATTAGATGTCGCATCTGGTCTTCCAAAAATTTGCTAGAGGTCTTTTTTGTTGATTTCAGATAAAGACTGAGTTCTCTCTACAATTGACAGTATGTTGGGTGCAGAATTTTTAATGATTGGAATATATGTAAATAAGATGCAATTACCCAGAAATACAGATTGCTAAAGTTCACAGTTTAGGTGGGTGTCAATTTGTGATAACTGTTACGTGTGGCTTATTAACTGTGCACACAACTCTCATCTATGCTAAAATACCCTATGGCTGTTACTCTGTCCTCTAGCCTGCACTTCCCCCGGCCAACCCACTCGCTTGTTTCACTCCCCCAATTACATCTTGTCTTTGGTCTATAAGATCAAGATTGGCATTTACTCAGCTGTCCTTGGAATGTTCCAGGAAATCAGAGTGGGAAAGAGCTAAATTTCTAATGTAAGAAAAACTTGGGGGAGGTGAGTGAGGGGGAGAGAAGTGGGAGGCGAGGATGTGGGGGGTGGAACTTCCCAACAATTTTTTTTCTTTGCAAATCACTTTAAATGCATTTTATCTCCTCTTCTCTGAGAACTAGAATGGTCTGATTTATGTGTGTCTGGTGCTCCTATGATGACTGCGACAAACAGATAGATCAACCAACTTTACTGCAAGTTAAGTAAAGAAAGTACTGAGATGATGACTCTTCCCCGATTGTTGTGAAGGTACAAAGCTGAGACACAAGATGGGTGAGGTGCTATCTGGCTTATTTCTTTCAACAAGAACAGGTCACAGAAGTGAGTGGGCAAGGTTCTGCAGCCTGCAATATGCAGGAGGCCAGAGTAGATGACCTCAATGATCTTATTTGACCTTAAGGTGTAGGAGTACAATAGAAGATATTACTTCACTCACCCTGTCTCTCTGTGACCAACAGGGCTATAACACGCGGCAAAGCTAAATTTGTAAAATCTAGTAATTGTTCAAGATGTCTTTGTGTGGCCCTGAACTGTGCCATTATTCATCTCGCAATATCACAGCAAATGGTAATATGCAGCTTTAAGGTCCTGATCCTTCGAAGACCTCAGCAGTATTTAATTTTGTACACCATGAGTAATCCAGTTGAGTTTATGGACCACTCAGAGCTACCCACAAGGTGCAGAATCGAGCTGCACCTTGTGTAACTCTGTGGGCAGTTTTAGAGTCCTCCGAGAGCCTTTAGAGGGGTTTTTACACATTATTCTCTCATTATTAGTAGTATCACACTTATGAGTGGGTTGTCCCTCTTGTAAGAGAATTGGAACGTTCACACTAGTAATACCTCACCTCCTGGTAAAGCAAAACTTTAAGGATGCCCAAATTGCATAAGGATTTCAAGTTTCAAAACTGTCTGCTATCTCTTTTTCTTCTCTGGTTTGGTTTCTTGGGTTGGATTCAATCAACAGGAAATTTCTTTTTAATTTTTTTCCACTCACCTGAGACTTGTGTGAATAAAAGGTGTAGCCTCTCACTAGCTGTGTAGCAACATAATCCCATTGAGGTCAATGGAGCTGTGCTGATTTACATAACCTAAGAATCTGGCCCAAACACATCATACAATTTTCTGATGACTAGGTGTATGTTCACACAGAAGTTGGAGGTGCGACTGCAACACACAGATAGCCACATCTGAGCCATCTTACTTAAAATAGCAGCATAGCCACATGTGAAGGGTTTATCACACAAGTATATGCCTTGGGTCCCAGGTGTTACTGTAAGTCACACCTCTCCATTAGATATATCTTGGTGTTTTTATTAAACTTTGACAGACTATTCTTCTGTCCTTTTAGCAACCAAAGAACTTTTTCAGTTGGATATAAATGGCCAGTCATAAATATGAAGAAAAATAAAGTCAGTGAGTTTGAAAAGTTAAGAGATCACTTCTAGTCTGTCTCCAAACCTGTGTCATCTATATGAATATGCTGGCTAGATGAATATTCCTATGAAGAGTGAGCAACTAACTCGCTCAGTTATGAACCATAGATGGGGTTCATCTAATTGTTCCTGCTGCCTGTCTTTTTCTTTGTTTCCCCTTTCTCCTTAACATTTGCCTGTCTGTGTTCCAAAATTAGTTGTCACCAGAGCTGGGCAGACCTGGCAGTTAACAAATGTAGATCAAAATGCTTCTAAAGTTACACTTCAGAGTTCACATTTTTAACCCGCCCTCATAACAGTTCACATTCAGATTCAGCATTAATGGTATCACCCAAGCACAAAGTCATAGCAAGAAAACCCCACTATTCCCTATTTCCACCATATTCATTCTCTGTTGCTTGCGGTCATGAATTTTCAGTCACTAGAGCTTTCTTGTCTAAATTGCACTGGCTTACTAAGGCATTTAATAAACCAGCCAGGTAAAGGAGAGCCTGTTCAAGCTGGGAGACAGTTACCCAGCAGACATTCTAGTGACTGCAAACTTACCATTTCTTGCAGCTGGATGCTACTTTCAGCTCATCCGTGGTCCCGTGGCTGAGTTTCTGACCTGTTTATCAAGCATTTTGTGGTCTCCTGCCTTCAGAACCTTTTGATATCTAAAATATACCAGAGCCTGAAGGAGAGGAGCTGGAATTCTTGACATTGTCCTAAGAATAAGAGATGTAGGGAGCAGAGCTCCTGCAACTGAGCTGCTACTGCATGACTGTATTCAGTAAGAATGAGCCCTTACCTTGGTGCAAAGCTGAATCCTGAACGTGCAACTTCCTCGTTTAGACCTCTTGTGGCTTTCGCACACACTACCAGCATTTTTAATGGCAGCTAAATCATAATAGAAATTCAATATTTTACATATTATTGCATAAATGGTTTCATCCCAAAGATTTAATTTCAAGCTGTGTTGCTTATCTGGCCAACCCAATCCATATCGCAATATTACCCATATACCTCTGAAGAATTTTGAATAAGGACGTCAGCCATCTGGGAGACTTGTGCACATCACTTCTGAATTTTGGCAAATATTTATATATTTCATTATCTTGCTCCTTTGAAAATCCTCCTGGTCCCTGAATGTGGATTTCACAGGGTAGATTTGGCCAAGAAGCAATAACAGTTCTGCACTTCAGAAATATGTGCTGAATGTGCATCCCATAATTAACCCATACCTAAAACTCATGTTTGGCACCTATGTATTTGTTTTGTAAGAGATTAAGTTTCATAAGTATTCTCTGGACAACTGAATGATCACTCTGTAGAATACACAGTGAATACTTCTCTAGGGAATGAGGCAGGAATATATCCTAGCTGAATAACGGCGGGGTAGCAGGAAAGTTTAAATGACAGGTTTGAGTCTCACCATTCCTAGATGTATGCACAGGAAGGGAAAGCACTGTAAGTTTAACACCCTGGGATGGCTAAGAGTGAGTCATCTGATGTCCAACCACAGACTACCGCTGTATAACCTACACTGTTGAGAAGCCTGGCCTGAGGAAAAGAGCACTGGTTACCCTTTAAATTAGCTTTGATTTCAATGGGAGCATATTCAGGCCCCATCTTCTGCAATAAATGAGAGCATCTGTCATAGCCTGCAACGGCCCTTGTTGTAGTATACGGGGCAAAACTCTCCAGCAGTGTCCCAAATCCCGATAGCCTCTCTAACTGCGAATGATTGAGTGCACTTGTGCATGTAGCCAGCCATCTGCTTAGTGGCTCCAAATTCTAAGGGAGACACTGAGTACCAAATGGTCTTTGCTGCATCCAGCATCAGTGTGGTTCAGAGGAACATGGTACAAAGTTAGGGCCCCTCCCATACCCATTCCTGATGAATCTGTACCCTCTTGGGGAACTGTTAGTACCAACATAGGGAAGGAGTGGCTCCAATATAAAACAAGATTTGAAACATGATTCCCGTAGAGTCACTGAGTTTCAAACCAGAAGGGACCTCCAGATTTTCTACTGATCTCTTGTGAATGACAAGCCTCTCAATTCCATCCTGTTCCTCCTGCTTTAAACCTAATAACCTGGATTAGATTGAAGTATTACAGCCCTCAAGACAGTAAACTGTTGTGTGCCATGGACCGAGGAACAGTGACTGAAGGGCACCTATGGCAAGGGATTGATTTGGTGAGATAAACCCAGATGGTCCTAGCAAGCTGCATGCCCCCATACTGCAGCAGAAAGTAAAAGAAAACAAGCACACAAATTTCCTGCCAATCCAACCTGTGGAAGAATTTCCTCCTAATCCTGAAAACTGTGAGCAGTTGAGACCCGAGCACGTAAGCAGGACCCACCAGGCAACCACCTAAGAAATAATTCTGTGTACTTGTCCCATGTCCAGCTGTTTCCATCTCTGATGTTTTAGAGGAAAAACAAAACACACACACACTAACACCACCACAACCCTGAATACATCAGAAGGGGAAGAATTCCTTCCTGACCTCTACCAGTGACAGGCTGAAGCCCCAAAGCATGGGATTTAGGAACATAAGGCACAGGACCACAATATTTTAGAGCTACAATAAATTTTACTCAGGACCAATCTTTGTTATATAGCCACCAACTAACTTAGTAGATCCCCACTTTCTTCTTCATCAGGCAAACTCTGAAGCAAATAAACTGACTCGATTCCTCTTGTGGCAGCAAGACCAAAACACAAGGAATCATCTTACTACCAAACTTTTCCCAATTTCCTTCATGAGGGCCAGGCAGGAGAGTCTGGATCTAGTTAATATTGTTCCATTATATGGGAGCTGCTGTTGATTTGGAGTCCTATATGTTGTAAGGCTGGTGCAGGTCTTCCTTTGCTTTACAAGAAAAGATACTGTGGAAAAACAAAATCTTGAGAGGGGCTTTAACATTCACATGTGTGGTTCCCGTCTGTCACTGTCACCTATTTGTGTCACTGCGGTTCCAGCAGGTAAAAGAAGCACAAGACAAACCACATCTGTGCAAACTTTCTAAGTGAGAGGTCTTTGTTCAATTTTTCACATAAAAAAGTGCTGCTGATTTCAATGCAAATCAAATTACATTTATATGAGTGAGTTCATCTTAGAAGAATGAAAACCCTGCAGATGTCCCAACCACAAAATAACCTGTTTCCAGAAAGCTCACAGCTCAAAGGAGAACAAATTTGTCTCCAGACTAGTCCATCACGGCTTAGAAAATTAGCTAGAAGTCTTTTGACACTTCTAGCCACTAAAAACACTGAAAATCACACTTAAAACAGAGTTGCATAATGTTGTCTTTTCTAATTCTCTCCAAATATTGGAGGTTAGGCCAGACAATACATTAACAGAGGCTGCACCAGGCATTTCTTGTGGAAGGGATGCAAGGAACCTTTTTCCCCCTCTTCTTTCTGCTGTGGAGATAGGCCAGAGAGGTATCAGTAAGAACAGAGCAATCATCTTGAATTCACAGAACCATTTAGATTCAGTGATGCCAGGCTTCCTAGTGCATTACTCAAGCCTATTTTAAGAAAGAAAGAAAGAGGATGAAATTCTTAAAGGACTCAGGGTATGGCTACACTAAAAATTTAATTTGAAATAACAGTTGTTATTTCAAATTAACTTCAATAGTGTCTATACATGGAAACCGCTATTTCAAATTAAATTCGCAATAGCGGAGCGCTTAATTCCAATTTGGTAAACCTCATTCTACGAGGAGTAACGCCAAATTTGAAATAGCTAATTCGAAATAAGTGCTGTGTAGACACTTAATTAGAATTAGCTGGCCTCCAGCCCCTTCCCAGTTTCCCCTGGTGGCCACTCTGGGCCAAACCAGGAAAACTCCTCTCCTCTCCCCCAGCCCTGGAGCCCTTAAAGGGGTAGACTCTGGCCAGACGGCATGTGCCAGAGCTAGGCCTGCAAGCAGTCTCTTCCCCTGACCCAGTGGCCCCAGTATGAGCCAGACAGCCAGTGCCAGCCAGCCATTTCCCCGCCCAGTCCCCCAGCGGCCAGCCAGGGGTCATAGACGGCACGCACCCGCCTGGACTGGTGCGGAGATCATGGATGTCATAGAGGTTTGGGGGGAGGCCCCCAACATCCATGATCTCCACACCAGGAGAAGGAAAGTGGCTGTTTATGGCCGTGTAGCAGCCACCATGGCCCAGAAAGGCTACAGGTGCACCCAGGAGCAGGTGCGCCTGAAAATTAAAGAGCTGCAGCAGGGGTTCACTAGGGCCACCAGGGGTGGCACCACAGCAGGAGCTGACACCTGGCCCTACTTCCCCGCCCTCGACCGCATCCTGGGGGGCGGGATGGTCCATGCCAGCATGGAGGGTGCCATGCCAGCGGGACCCCCGAGCTGTCCCAGCACTGCAGTCAGCAGGGTCGTCAGGGGAGGCCACACCAGGTAAGTGCCATCACTGTCCCCTCCCCGGGGGGGCGGGGAGGGAGAGCAAGGACCATGCGCGTAGGCCTTGCCTACCAGAGATCACGCAGCCACTTGTGCACGTGCAGGTATGTGCCGTACCACCCTTGGGCAGGTGGCTCCAGCTATGTGCCACACAAGGAACATGGTCCAATAGCCACACGTGTATGTGAAGATACCTGACATGCTCCTGACCCCAGGGCGGGACCCAGCAAAACGTCCTCCTTTCATACACCCCCTCTACACAGAGGCAGGGGACATCTCCCTGCCTTGGCCGCACGATACACGGCACAGGGGTATGGGTGTGGTCTTGGGGCAGCTCCCACTCCCGGACATAGCCAGACATCCTGACCATGGCCTCTGTGCAAGCACGTCAGCTCTGACGGTGCAGGGCACGGACGTCCTCACCTCAAAGGGGGCATTGGGCATCACCCACTGCGTCCCCAAGGAGAACTGATCACTTTTCTTCCTTCTCCACAGCCGCACAAGCTGCATGTGCAGGGCGCACCACCCCGCCCGGGACATGCTCCCGCACCCAAGGGCTCCAAAGGACCACCGCAACATGGCAGAGGTACTGGGACCAGCACCTGGGGGCCCTGTGAGCCCTGCATCACACCATCCAGGGCTGGGTGCAGGAGGACCTGCAGCTCCGCCGGGAGCAGCTTGCTCAGGACCATGCCATGTGCTCACACCTGCAGGTCCTGCCGCAGAGCGTGCTGCCCCATGCCGCCCCAGTGCCTGCTGCCCCTCCAGCTACTGTTCCTCTTCCCATTCCTGACCCCCTCCCACCTTTCCCTCCTCCTCAATCTTCACACCCCCCACCTCAACCTCCACACCCTCCTCTCCATCCCCCCAGGGACACCGAGGCCCCTGCACCCGCCATGCTGGGAGACATGTGGCTCGATGAGCCCCCCACCCCTGAGCGCAAAGCTTCCGCTTCCCCTCCCCCTTCCTCTCCTTACTTTCCCCATCCAGCTCCCTCCTCCCAGTCTTTCCCCTCCCCTCTCCCACCCTCTCGTCTCTCGCCTCCTTTCCCCAGTCTCTCCAGAGTTTCATTCCCCCTTCCCAGTTTTGTTAAATAAGACAGTCCATGTTTATGAAAAAATGTGTCTTTTGTTTGACATCAGGAAGGGGGACTAGGGAGGAGTAAGTGAAAGGAGGTGAGGGAGGAATGGGGCACAAGCCCCTGGTGGGGAGGACCAGGGTTGCTCTGAGGGCTCCTTCGGGTGGATGCTCTTCCGCAGGGCCTCCTGGATCCCGACAGCCCCCCAATGGACTCCCCGGATGGCAGCCTGCAGCAAGTGCAGCCGGGCTGATGGCAACGACCCCAGGAGATGCACCGGTGTGCCCAGGGGCAGCTCTGGCTCCATGTGGCCAAGTGCTGTGGTGTCCTGAGTGCGGGCACACAGGGTACTCCAAAACAGGACTGCTTTGCTGTCCCTCATCGAGGTAGACAAGCAAGTGGGGAACCCTGAGAACTGTCTGTCTGGGGTGGAGGTAGGGTCCCATTAAGCACGGAGCTCAGTTAGCCTCAGGCAGCAGCCCCACACACTTAAGCCCTACCCCGATGCCCTGCCGACACTGGTTCCGGCCAGCCTTAACTTCAGTTCAGGGTCCACTCAGTGTGGACATGCTATTTCGAAATAGCAAAACACTATTTCGAAATAGTTTTTGTGTCTAGATGCGTTATTTTGAATTATCTTAATTCAAATTAACTATTTCAAATTAAGTTAATTCAAAGTAGCGCTGTAGTGAAGACATGCCCTCAGGTACAAACAGCAATTGCAAAGTTCTTAGTTCAGGCTCGTAGCAGTGATAGAATAAACTGCTGGCTTAAGTCAGTCTCTGGAGTACATCCACTTCACATGGGTCTTTGTTTAGAGCTTCACTTTGTAGCCAAAATCCTCCAGAGGTAAGAAGCAGGTTTGAAGACAAAATAGAGGGGTTTCTATGGCCTTTTATATCTTCTGCCATGTGGCGGGAATCCTATTGTTCTTGCTGTGGAAAAAAGTACAGCAGCAAGATGGACTTTGGAGCCACATGGGCAAAATCACTTACCCATGTGGAAGTAGAAGCCATTGCTCCCATGCTAGTCTGAACATTCACAGAAAAGTATCAGAGGGGTAGCCATTTTAGTCTGAATCTGCAAGAACATCGAGAAGTCCTGTGGCACCTTATAGACTAACAGATTTATTGGAGCATAAGCTTTCGTGGGCAAAGACCCACTTCATCAGATGCAACAGATGCATCTGACAAAGTGGATCTTTGCCCACGAAAGTTCATGCTCCAATAAATCTGTTAGTCTATAAGGTGCCACAGGACTTCTTGTTATTCACAGAAAAGCTTATCAGAAGTGGATTAGCATCTCCCAAGCAGGGACAACTTATCCATTAGGCACAGTAGGCCCAGTGCCTAAGGCCCATGTGATACTTTTAGGGGCTCAAAAAAATGTTTTAATTTCTTTTAAAATCAGAAGAAAAAAAATGAACTTTTAGGGTCGAACAAAATGTTTTAATTTTTTTCTCACATCAGAAAAAAATGAAATTTGTAGGGCCCATGAAAATATATTAAATTTTGCCTAAAACAGAAAAAAAATAAAATGTTGAAGTATTTAAAGTTATATCAAAAATAATTTTTAATATTGCTATTATTATGGTGGGAGGGGCCCATGAAGGCAAAAGTGCCTAGGGCACACAAAAGTCATAATGCGGCTCTGCTCCCAAGGCCCATTGTCAGTCCAGTACTTCTATTCAACTTGAATAGTCCTGTCACAACAGGCTGACCAATTGCCTCATTGGTGCGACTCAGGATCAAACACAAGTACACAGCCAAAGCCCATAACTTCAAATGCAAAAATGATGCATGCATACATATAGCATAACCCTAGCCAGCAAATCATAAGCTTCTCATAGACACTTCACTTGGGACACTTTGTACAAGATTTGTTGCAAATATACAACAGTGGCTGCAACCGTGCTCTACACAGTCATGTTTTACTCAGATAATGTTACATCCTGCTTCAGAGGGCTTCTGCTGTTGCCAACTCAGCAGGTATCCCCAGCCAGGTCCCCATGGAGAGCTCCCTTGTGGCTCATTAATCTGACCCTGGATCACCTGTAAAAGCTCTCTCTAATCAAGTTACTTGCTAGCTTCTCGAGGCTCTTCAAGCTTGTGACAGGGTGTTGTCACAGAAGTCCTCTTGGGATTGTTTCCCGGTGTGCTAATCATGCCACTGACACCCACCTTCTTGTTCTCTGGGGCTCCCCACCACCCTATCCAACTGGGCTAGATCCTCTGGTCTCCCCCAGACAAAACACAGAGTTGGGGTAACTTCCCTGCTGCAGAGCAATACAGACACTGAGCCACTTCAGCAGTGGGAGGATGTAGTTCTAGGGCACAGCACTTAGGAAACCAACCCCTGAATGAGGACCATAAACCCCCAAATAAATCCGTCTTTCTCTGTGTAAAAGTTTTACACAGTGAAAGCTCCTCATTATCAATGAAAGGAAAATACACACAATGGCTGGGTCCCCCCCCCCCCCCCAAATAATTATTTACACTTCATAATTTACAATTGTTTACTAAATACAAACAGTAGGGGTTAAGTGGATGCAAGTGAAAACAGACAGATCAAAGTAAGTTACTAAATTAAAATGAAAAAGAAAATGCATAGCTAGCTCCAAGTCAATAAGAAACATATCAAAAGCAGATTCTTTCCCTTAAGAACTTTTCTTATTTCAAGCGTATTTTTCATGTTAGAGACTCTTTTATTCTGATTTGGGTCTCCAGTCTTCTTTGTATCCTTTCAAGGTTTCCCAGGCTAGCTGACGACAATGGGTTACTGGCTTCTCATTGCTTAAATAGACTCTTCCCCTGGGTGGGTATCTTCTGTTTTACACACCCCCTCCTCCCCTCGCCATAGAAAAATACCATGTTCAAAAATCCTAGTACCAAGTGGTATGTTCACATGTTTTCCTAGGACCAATCACCTTCTGGACATAAAGGACAAACAAAGCTATTTACAAGTAGTTATGGCTGGCTGAGAGTGGATGGGTAGGTGCGGGGGAGGAGGGGCACCAGTAATGGCTCTCATTAGCACATTAAAAATTATAAACAGTCTCATGCTCCATATTTCTTACTTCATTTACAAGAATGATACGTGCACCAGAATAAGATATGCAGATCTAACAGACTGTGACATTAAATTTGATGGGTTATATGAGGCATTTTGTCAAAAGCATCTATGAGTTATGCATATCTATATGCACAAGTCAATTTTTCAGAAAGCATAGGGGAGCCCATAACAGCTGTCACCTGATCCCTGGCCTCCATGTCAGCTGGGAGGCAGTTGATTAATCACAGAAGGGCTGTACCCAATTCCCCATAGATGGCTGTTTGTTAAAGGGACAGCCATTCCATAAAAATTGCTCAAAGTAAAGTTGAAGAGGACTGCAAGCAAGAAATGGAAGAACATTTGGGCGAAAGGCTCTGTGCAGTATGATCTGAATCTCCCCAGTCTTCAGGACAGGCTCAATGGCCTGTGGTATAGGGGCCAACTTCGTGGATGCTCCAAGACTGGACCAGGATCTTGCACCTGTCAGCAGCCCTGCTGACCAGCTTCTGCCCTTCCCTCTCAGCATCTCCCACCTGCCACAAAGCTCAGGATGCTCCTAGAAAGAGGGGGAGGAGCAGAGATATGGTGTACTTGGAGAAGGAGGTGGGGCGGGAGCAAAGAGGTGGAGGTGGGAAGAGGCAGAATAGGGGTGAGGACTTGTGGAAGGAGATGGTTGCGTGGGGGCAGGGCCAGGATGTGAGGAGGGAGAGCAAGTCCCGGTGAGAGGGGAAGCTGATACTCATGCCTTGTGCTCTGGTTTGGCTCCTATTTTATTTGTAATGCATTGACTATGTATCAATTACAAGTGTGGCTGAACCTGGGGAATGTTCACCAGACAGTCTAGGTCAGTGCTTGGCAACCTATGGCCCAAGGGTCCATGCGCAGCCCACAAGACATTTTGTTGACTGTTGCACACACACAGGATTGCCAGATTCCAAGTGGTTTCCATTCATGTTGTATTTTCCTATTGTTATTACTAAAGAGACACATACGTAAAGCAAGTACACGTGAAGTGAGGTGTGTGCTGATTGCAACCACATTGACTGAGAGCACCGTGCTTTCCCTCTGCAACCAATCAAGTGCTGCTATGGTTCAGTTGATTCACAAATTCTAAGTATACAAGTAGAGTTTTCAAAATGACACTATTCTGGGAGACCATCTTGATTACGATAGTCTTGCAGCTCATCGAGATGAAGGAGGGCCACTCATGTGGCCACTCACTGGGTTGCCTATCACTGGCTCACTGCGTGGATGAGCCATCAGAGGAAACAACAGGTCTCAAAAGAGGTTTATCATCCACAGAAAAGTCTTCCTGGGGATGTTGCAAACAGACTTTCAGTTATGGCTGCAGGGTTATGTGATTAAGACACCTGATACTAGACTCTTTGATAAAATCATCAAGTTCTTCTCTGCCTGCTGCTCAGAGACACTATGAAAACACTTAGGAACAAGGATTGAACTGGGGAGAAAGGCTGGCCCCAGGCTGGAAGAGTATCTAGCCTGGGACTGAAATATCTGAAGTTTTAAGCTGTAGGCCAGTGTATTTGGGTTTCAAGAATAGTTGCAATCTTGAACAACATTGAGGGTGGGAATTTGCTACTTGCTTCTTTAGTTTCTGTGTTTGTTTTAGTTGCTCATTAATCTGCACTGCTAGTCACTTCAA